ATCTCCCAACTGCTGCTATTAAAGGCATGCACCACTGCCCTGTTGTAAGATTTTTATATATGTGCGTGCATGTGTGTGTGTGTGTGTGTGTGTGTGTGTGTGTGCGTGCGTGTGGTGTGTTCACAAGCATAAGTGCAGTTGCCTTTGGAGTCCAGAAGAGGATGTCATATGCTCTGGGGCTGGAGTTATATGATAGCACCTGATGTAGGTACTATGAACCTAACTTGGGTTGACTGGAAGACCAGTAAGTACACTCTTAACCACTCAGCCATCTCTCCATTGCTGTCTGTTGTTCTAAGACAGAACCTTGTAGCTCAGGATGGCCTCAAATTTGCTATATAACTAAGAATGATCTTGAACTTATGGTCCTCTTGCTTCCGTTTCCCAAACTCTGAGGGTACAGTCATGAGCCACAAGACTCATGTTTCATTTGTTTTGAAATAGAAACTCACTCTGGACTCCAGGGTGACCTGGTACTGACTATGTAGCTGAGCCTAGCCTTGAACTCACAACAATCCTTCTATTAGGTTGTTTTTTTTTTCATGTTTATGAATCTTTTGCCTATATGTGTGTGTGTGTACCACATGTGTACCTCAGAGATCAGAATAAGGGGTCAGATACCCTAGAACTGGAGTTCTGGGTGGTTGTAAACTGTCCTGTGAGTGCTGGGAACTGAACCGAGGTTCTCTGCAAAAGCAACCAGTGCTCTTAACTGGTGTGCTATCTCCCCAACCTTAAGTGCTTAAAGCCAGCGTAAGTGCTGGGATTCTAGGTGAGAGCCACCACAGCCTGGGTTTTAGGGTTTTAGCAATTTTTGGTCAGATTGTATTTGTGTAGTTTGCCATTGTACAGCCTTCTTGAGAGAAAAAGCCATATGAGTCATCCCTTTTGTATTCTTTACAATTTATTAAATTTTATTTTGTGTGCATTAGTGTGAAGATGTCAGATCCCTTTGAATTTGCATTACAGACAGTTGTGAGCTGCCTTGTGGGTACTGGGAATTGAACCCGGGGTCTTTGGAAGAGGCAACAATGCTCCTAACCACTGAGCCATCTCTCCAGTACCACTCCTCAACCCCCTTGTATTCTTAGCAGTGTTTATCTCAGGTCCTCAGACTTAACATAAGCTCAGAAAACATGAATAAAATAACATTCTGTTGCTGTATGATTCTCTTTGATAAAATATGGCATCCTCAAATCTCTTGGAAAGATAAACTTTTCATGTATACTCTCTAAGTTCCATATTTTGTTTTGGTTGGTGCTGGAGCTTGAACCTAGGACCCTGTGCATAGCATGCCTACAACTAACCCCCTACAAATCACCCAGATGATAATGGTCGAAGGAGGTATAACTTTGGGGGAAAGGGATATTTTTTGAGCAGGGTGTGTAGTCCAGGCTGGCTGTGCAACCCAGATTGCCCTTGAACTCAGAATTCTGCCTTATCCTGCCAAGTGCTAGAATTCACATATAAGCATCCTACTCATGTTCTCATTTTTTTTAAAGATTTATTTATTATTTATACGTTATTCTGCCTTCATGTATGCCAGAAGAGGTCACTGGATCTCACTATAGATGATTATGAGCCACTATGTGGTTATTGGGACTTGAACTCAGGACCTTTGAAGACCAGCCAGTGCTCTTAACCTTTGAGCCATCTCTCCACTCCCCTCATGTTGCTCAATCTTGGTTACTGACACACCCATAGCTTTTCTGTGTGTTTGACCCCAAACTGGACTTCTAAGGCTATAAAAACAAAATTTGGCAGCACTTGGGAGGCAGAGGCAGCCAGCTCTTTGAGTTTGAGGCCAGCATGGTTTATAAAGTAAATTCCAGGACAGCCAGGCTACACAAAGAAACCCTGTCTCGAAAGAGCAAAAGTAAAACAAACAAAACCAAAGACCCAAAAAACAAAATTTAACCTAGGTATAAGGGTGTATACCAAAAATTTTAGATACTCAGAAGGCTGAGGCAGGATTATGAGTTGGAGGCCAACTGGAGGAATTTAGTAAGATCCAGCCCCCTGCCACCAAACTAAAGAAAGTAAAGAGCTAGGGATGAAGCTCAGTGAGTGAGACCTTGTCCAGCATGCTTGAGACCTGGGTTTGATACCCATCCCAACCCTCTCCCAAACTAGTTCCAGAAAGGGAAGACGAGAAGGGAGAGCCCAGTGCCAAGACTAAGAACAGAGATGGGCTGGTACAAGCTACAGGTGGCTTTGCCCCCTTTTCACCCTCTAAGGTGATGTGGGCACAAGGGTCACTTGGTTGCTTACCCTTTTTAGCCACTCATGTCAGGACAGCCTACTGCAGATATGATTAAAGAGCATGCAGATACGACAGAGAGCATGGCCTTCCCACTGTTTGGGACTTAGCCTAAGTTTCAGAGTTTGGTTACATCTAGAAAGGGAACTTTTTTTAAAGATTTATTTGTTTATTATTTATACAGTACTCTTCCTGCATGTATGCCTACACACCAGAAGCCATCAGATCTCATTATAGATGGTGTGAGTCACCATGTGGTTGCTGGGAAGTGAACCCAGGACCTTTGGAAGAACAGCCAGTGCTCTTAACCACTGAGCCACTTTTCCAGCCCCGTAGAGAGGGAACCTTGTTGACCTGTGAAAGTGCATTTCTGCGTCTATGATTTTCTTTCAAGAAATTTTTCTGTCTTGCTTTTCTTTCACTCCATTAGTTTGCCAAGTTATGTTAAGTAAATACTGATGTGTACTGTGTTTTCTACTTTGACTTAAAAGATTTGTTTCATGTGTGGAAATGATTAAATGTTGAAAAATTCACAAAGCTAACATACCCCAGATTTATCACCTGGAACCAATTGCTGTGGGAAGAGCAGCTGGGTATGGAGGTACATGTCAGTAATCTTAGCACTGGGGAGACAGGAGCTAGACAACTGGAAATTCAGGGCCCTCCCTGGCTACTCAGAAGCCAGCTTAAATTAGAGGCCCTGTCTCAAAAATATATGACATATGTTAGACAAGTTCTCTACACTAAGCTTCTTTTTTAATTTACATTTTATTTATTGTGGAGAGGCACACAAATGCCATGGTATCCTTGGAGAGGTCAGAAGATAGTTTGTAGGATGGCTCCCAGGGATTGAACTCAGACCATCAGACTTGACAACAAGTGTCTTTATTCATCAAGCCATATCACCAGTCCATGCAGCAAGCTATTTGTGTGTATATATATATTGCAGGGTGGGATGGGGATGAGAATTGGGTGGGCTTGTTTGTTTATTTTTTTACTTATTTCTGAGACAGTCTCAGAAAGCCTAGGCTATGTAGGTTATGCAGCCGAGGCTGAGTCTGGTCTTGAATTCCTCTTCCTGCCTCCCCAAATCTAACTGCCATCACATCTGATCTCAAGCTTTCTATTTATTTATTTTTGAGACATCTTCTCACTAAGTATGCCAAGCTCTTGGTCTTGAACCTACAGTGTAGCCCAGGCAAGACTTGAATTTGGTGATCATCCTGCCTCAACCTCCTGAGTAACTGGAATTGCAAACTTGTGGCACCAAGTCCAGCTTGGAAACTCTTACTAATTATTATTATATAGCTTTGGCTAGTCTGGAACTCAATAAATAGACCAAGCTGGCCTCAAACTCAGAGACCTGCCTGCCTGGAAAGGCCTGCACCATCACATTTGTTTGGCATTATTATTATTATTATTTTGTTGTTGTTGAAACAGTCTCATGTAGCCTGGGCTGGCCTTGAACTAACTATGCAGTCAAGGATGACCTTAAACTCTTGACCCTCTTGGTTATCAGGCATGGAAACTTATCAGTCTTTTTTTCTTTTCTCCCCAACTCCTAGCTCACATCTACAGATATTGAACACAGATTGTTTCCAAAATTTGTCTTTAAAAATCTCTAAGGGTTTTTTCATTTTCGTGTGTGTGTGTGTGTGTGTGTGTGTGAGAGAGAGAGAGAGAGAGAGAGAGAGAGAGAAAGAGAAAGAGATAGAGAGAGAGAGGTGCAGTGCCCTCAGAAGCAGAAAAGAGCATTGGAAACCCTGGAGCTGGAGTCATAGGCAGTTGTTAGCCACCTGGCATGGTGCTGGGAACTGAACTCAGAGTCTCTGGAAGAGCAGGAGTGCTTTTAACCACTGAGCCATCACTCTAGCCCCCCAGTTTTCTTTTCTTTCCTTTTCTTTTCCTTTCTTTCTTTCTTTTTTCTTTTCTTTTCTTTTCTTTCTTTTTTTTTTTTTTTTTGAAACAGTTCACCCTATAGTCTAAGCTGGCCTTGAATTCACAATCCTCCTGCCTCAGCTTCCCAATAGCTATCATTACAAGTATGTGCCATCATGCTTGGCTTTTACATAGTTTTGAAAGGGTTTTATGCCAGTTTATACTGCTACTTTATTTCCTTTACTACTTGTTTTTGGTTTTTTTGTGTTTTTTTTTTTTTTTTTTTAAGAAACAAGAACTCACCATATTGTGGCTAGCCTATAACTTCTATATAGACCAGTCTAGCCTCAAACTTGCAGTGATCCACCTTCATCTGTCCTGAGTCCTGGGATTATAGTTGTTGGCCACCATGCCTGGCTCTTAATTTTTTTTTTTCTAGCCTGGTTGCTATAATTCATTTTGTTCCTTCCATAGACAAAGAATGGTCTCTGCCTGACAGTTTAATGGCATTTTGAGATTTATGCATTTGCATAGATGAGGTTCTGTAAGTCTGGATAACAGAGTTTTGTTGTTGTTTGTGTGTGTGCACAAATGCATGTGTTCATGTGCACTACAATGTATGTGTAAAGTCAGAGGGCAGTTTGTAGGGGTGGTTCTCTCCCTAGCATGCAGATCCCATTGAACTGAGCACGTCAGGCTTGGCATCAGGTGCCTTATGGCCTGAGCCCTCTCACCAGCCCTATATGACTGATCTGACACTTGTGTAAGGTTGGAGGATTACTCAGACTTGTTTAGCACCTGACAGTATTTTATGTATGTTGGCCATGCTGAGTGCTGAATCTAACTAAAGCTTGTTTTTCAGAGCCTGTCGGATCTGGACATGTCCTTCATATTTGACTGGATTTACAGTGGTTTCAGCAGTGTGCTGCAGTTTCTAGGTAACCTTGGCTTTGCTCTTTGCAGCTAGTCCATTTAACCCTGTTTATGTAAAGACATTGGTTTGTAGAGAGCTCCTTCATGTAAGCCTGTGGTTAAGAAAGTGACTTTGAAATTATGAACTACATGCAGTGACTCACTGCCTTGAAATCACATAATCTTAGGTGAGGTGTGGGAGAGCACACCTGTATCCCAGCACTCGGGAGGCTGAGACTAGAAGACTAAAGACAGGTTCCCGGCCAGCCCACCCTTCAAAATGAGCTCAAAATTCTTAAATTATATAAACTTGGGGAATTTACTTTTTCTACTTTACCTTAAGTTTCTTTATCTATAAAATGACTATATGTATGTATGTATGTATGTACTTAAACTACTGGAGATTGAACCTAGGGCCTCACATATGCTAGGCAGGTGCCCTAGCACTGAGGTGTATCACTAGCCTTGGCACTAATGAGTCTATCTCTTACAATTTTATTAATTTATTTATTTAGAGACAGGGTCTTACTATGTAGCCCTGGCTGGCCTGGAACTCATGGAACTTGCCAGCTTCTGCACCCAGCCCTGGTGCTGAGATTAAAGGTGTGTGTCACCATACCTGGTTTCTATCTTCTATAATTGTTGTTAGTAATATTACTAACAAATATGCCCTGCTTCTTGGCTGGTTTACTGCATTTTTTTAATACTTTATTTCATTTAATCTAGTGTGGAATTTAGTGTTACTTTTGTTTTGGGTTTCTTTGGTACAGGGACTCTGACCCAAGGCCTCTTGCATGACAGGCTGTTGCTTTATCAATTGAGCACCCCCAGCCCTGTCAAGCATTAGGCTTATTATAAACATTCATGTCGAGGGCTGGGGAGATGGCTCAGTTAGTAAAGTATTTGTTGTGCAAGCATGAAGATCTGAGTTCCATCCCAGCACTCATGTTAAAAAATTAAAAATTAAAAAGCTGCTTGTGGGGAAGGGGGCTAAAGAAATGGCTCAGCAGTTAAGAGTGCTGATTGTTTTTCCAGAGGGCCCAAGTCACTTCCCAGCGCCTACATGGCAGCTAACAACCATCTGTAATCAGTTCCAGGGGATGCAGCTTCCTCTTCTGGCCTTCTCAAGTCCCAGGTGTTCACATGGCACACAGACACACATGCAGGCAAAATACCTGTACGGCTCAGTGAGCTAAGGTGCTGGCTGCCAAGTCTGATGATTCCCAGAGCCCATGGAGTACAAAAAAAAAAAAAAAAAAAAAAGGAACTTATTAGCTGGAATGATGGGTTGTAATTCCTGTATATCAGTTTATAGAAACGGAAACTAACTGAACTGTGCTGGAACGGGGTGCTGCCTGTGGTTGTACACATCTTTAATTAGCACTCAGAGGCAGAGGCAGGTGGATCTTTGAGTTTAAGGACAGCCTGGTCTTTGTAGTCCATTCCAGACCAGCCAGTGCTAAATAGTAAGACCCTGTCTCAAAGAGGGTAGATGTTGTGTGATGGTGGCACACACCTTTAGTCCCTGCTCTCAGGAGGCAAAGGCAGGTGGATCTCTATGAGTTCAAGGTAGCCTGGTCCACAGAGTGAGTTCCAAGACAGCCAGGGCTACACACAGTGAAACCCTATCTCAAAACACCAAAAAAAAAAAAAAAAAAAAGTAAGTAAAAAGAAAGAAAGAAAAAATAAAAGAAAGGGAAGGAGGGTGGGGATGGTTATGTAATCTATTAAAATGAAACTAAAATAAATAAAATATATGGCTCTCTAAAAATATTGTAGCTCAGCAAGGCATGGTGGCACACGCCTGTAATCCCAGCGCTTGGAAGGCAGAGGCAGGCAGATCTGTCTACAAAGCGAGTCCAAGACAGCCAGGAATCTGTTATACAGAGAAACCTTGTCTTGAAAGACCAAAAAATAAAATAATAAGGTGGGACACCACACATGGTAAAAATATTGTAACATCTCTATTTTTTTCAACTTGCAAATGATAATCTGATATTAAAAACTCGGGTGTCAAGTTGGTGTGGCTGTTCGTGCCTATAACTCTAGCACATGGAGGTAAACCTAGAGGATTGCCATGAGTTCAAAGCCAGCCTTGGGTACAGAATGAAGTCCTGCCTTAAAACACAACACTGAGCTGATGTTATAGCTCAGCAGTTATAAAGTGGCTGTAAAGGCACCATCTGCCTGAGGACTCACAGGATAGGAGGGTCCTGGGAACTCCCCAGCACATTGTGACAACTGCATGCTCACATACACTGGAGCAAAGAGGTTAAATAGGACAGATCTTACAACAGTGTAAGCAGACTTCAAAGCCCAGGTCTGATTTAGGCACCTAACTCTGAACCAAAGTTTTTTTGAAGGTTAAATGAATAACATCTATAAGTACTTAGAAGTGCCTGCAAACTAAGGATTTAATCCAGTATGTAATTCTGTGAGCTATCTTTGTTTGTTTATTTTTCAAGTGTAGTGTGCTTGGGATTGAATCTAGGTCCTTGTGTGTGCTAAGTGAACTGTCTGCCACCAAGTTCTCTCCACTGCTCCAATACAGCCTTTCTAAAGTAAAGTGTAAATGTTGCAGATGTGTCCTGGGCATCCCATTTGAGAATCATATTAATATACTTTTACTATTTAATATTTAGTCCCCTGGAAAAAAACAAAAAAGAAAATTTAGACTACTAACCAAGTGTTATGGTATATATCTGATGATGGGAGTTAAAAGCTGGTTTTGGCTACATTGGGAGATTTTATTTTCCCTTTCTTCCTTCTTTCCTTCCTTACTCCCTCTCCCTTTTTGTTTTCTTTCTTTTCTTTCTAAGACAGGGTCTTGCTATGTAGCTCTGACTGTTTTCAGGCTATCCTGGTCTACAAAGTGAGAAGGTCACAGAGATTCTGCCTCTGCTGGGATTAAAGGCGTGCACCACCACCTCCTGGCACCCAAAATTATTTTTTAAATGATTAATTTATTTTCATCTGAGAAAAAATTCTTCTTTGACTTTTCATGTGGTCTATCTTCTTGACATGATGTCAGTTATTTATAATGTCTCTCTAGTGCAGTGTACAGGCATTACCTTTGGTTAGCAAGAGCTCCCCTCTCTATACTATAGACAAGTGTGAGCAACAAGCTTCTGCTAACTAGAACCAAACTTAGTTCTTTATGTGAGGTCCCATATCACAGATACATTGATTGACTTGTCTGTCTGGATCGCACCAGGGGTACATCCAGGCTTTGCATATGCCAGGCACATTGTTTACCACTGAATTACATCCACAGCACAATTTAAAACTTGTTTTGAGATGGGGTCTCAATTAATTACTCAGGTTAGTTTGGAACGCATGTTCTTCCTGCCTCTGCCTCGTAAGTACAGGGATGGCTGTGTAGCCCAGCTGTCCTAGAACTGGCATGATTCCCTGCCTCCACCTCACCAGTGATGCTGGAGTTACAGATCTTTGTTGCCATGCTTGGATAATGTGTAGATTTAAAAAAAAAAGTTGTTGTTTTTTTTTTTTTTAACTGAAAATGAGGGGCTGAAGAAATGGCTCTTAAGAGTAAGAGTACTGGCTGCCTACCCTTCCAGAGGACCAGCACCCACATGACAGCTCATGTATTTGTAACTCTAGTCTCAGGGAACCCAACATTCTTCTGTGTCCTCCTCAGATACTTCACTGCAGGCAAAACAGTCATACAGGTGAAATAAAACCTGAAAATAGCCTTACTTGGTAGTATAGACTTTTAATCCCAGCTATTCAGGAGACTGAGGAAGGAGGATCACAAATTAAAAGTTAGACTGAGCAACAGAATGAATTCAAAGCCAAATTGGGCTTTGAATTTGGTGGGAACCTATCTCAATAAAACGTAAAAAGAGGACAAGGATATATCTCAGTGATGGAAAGCACCTACCTGGCTTAACTTGGGGGTAGCACTGCCAGACAAAAACAAAAGAAGCAAGAGAAGAAAACTTAAAGATAAGTTTAAGGTAGCCAGCTGTAATGGTACATGCCTTTGATCCCACTCTGGGAGGCAGAGGCAGGTGGATTGCTGTTAGTTCAAGGCCAGCCTAGTCTACACAGAGAAGCCCTGTCTTAAAAAAACAAAACAAAACAAAACAACAACAACAAAAAGATAAGCTTAGGAAGCCAAGCTTATTTATGCTAAATTTACTTATTTATGTTGAGGCACAGTTAGAATTGATTATTGTTTATTTTGGGGGTATTTTTTGTTTTGTTTTTTAAATTGAATATTTTTATATTTTTTAAATTTTTATTTTATGTGCATTGGTGTCTTGCCTGCATGCATGTCTGTATGAGGGTGTCTGATCCCCTAAAACTGGAGTTACAGACAGTTGTGAGCTGCCATGCAGGTGCTGGGAATTGAACCTGAGACCATCTGGAAGAGCAGCCAGTGCTCTTAACTCTTGAGCTATTTCTCCAGCCCCTGTTTTGTTATTTTTTAAACAGAATCTCTCTACTTAGCTCTGGCTGCCCTGGAAGTATGCAGACCAGGAGAGATGCACCACTCTCTTCCTCCCAAGTGCTGGGATTAAGGCATGCACTACCATACGTGTCGTGGCTTTTATTTTTTGAGGCAGGGTCTCGGGTAGCTCAGACTAACCTCAGACTTGCTATAGAGCTGAGAATCACCTTGCCCTTCCTTGCCCTTCTGATTTCCTGCCCTCACCTCCCAGCTGTTGGGGGTGCAGGTGTGGTAAAGTCGGGCTCTGTTAGGGTTTAATAGAGGTTTAAAAACAGACATTGAAGAGGGGCACTGAGGAGGACACACTGCACACCAGGAGCAGACTTCTCAAGAGCTGCATATCAAGTATCTTAACTCCATGTAACTTTTAAGTCATGTCAAATATAGTCATTTTCATGATCCATGTTTGATGTCACTGTGACTGATTATAGTTCTTCTTATTCTGCAGGACTGTATAAAAAAACTGGTAAGCTGGTATTCCTTGGATTGGATAATGCAGGGAAAACAACATTGCTACACATGCTGAAAGATGACAGGCTTGGCCAGCACGTCCCAACACTACATCCCAGTAAGTATTTTCTTCCATATGAGTAATGCTGAGTCATAGGCCCTGCCCAAAAGTTTTTTTTTTTTTTTTAATTTGGGGGTTTTGATGAATAAAGTATGAGATTATTCAATTGTTCCTGAAATAACTATGTAAATAGTAATTGACCTGGTTCCCAGAGCACAAATCAAGATCTATAAGTAGTGCTCACACCTTCTTGGCTATACTGTGAGCCCAGTCTCCACTACAGACTAAAAAACAACAGAGCCAGCAGCAGAAAGAAACAGAAGGCTAATTTTCATCTGTCACTGTCACAGTGAAAAGATTATAAAGCAGGCAGATACAGTTTAAACACAAGTCAATCGAAGGATATGTGTGGTGGCCTTTAGCCCCAGCACTTAGAAGAAGAGGCAGGTGGATCTGTGAGTTCAAGGCCAGCTTGATCTTCATAGTAAATTCTAGGTCAGCCAGGGCTCTGTTGTGAGACCCTGTCTCAGAAAAGAAATGAAGAGTTACCTTCTAGCCTACACATGTACCTGTTAAATATTTAGTTTTTGAGATAGGGTTTTGCTGTGTAGCCCAGGCTAGTTTCAAATTCACTATCCTTCATCTTCCATAGCTTCCCAGTGTATATGCTACCCCAGCCAGCTTAGAGTTCCTTAACAAAATAAATGCCCTGATGCCATGTAGTTCCAGCAAAAATTTTTTAAAGATATATTTATTATGTATACAGTATTCTGTCTGCGTGTACACCAGCACACCAGAAGAGGGCACCAAATCTCATTATAGATGGTTGTGGGCCACCATGTGGTTGCTGGGAACTGAACTCAAGATCCTCTGGAAGAGCAGCCAGTGCTCTTAACCTCTGAGCCATCTCTCCAGCCCCTCTGGGGAAATATTTGTTGTGATTATGGGAAACTCCTCTCAAGGCCATGAGGGAAGATAACAGTGTCTAAAAGTCTTTCCCACTACAAACTAGGTAACTAGACAGAAATGTACATGCACAGTTGTTTTCAAAACTGAGCAACAGCCAACTCAGGACTGTAGTTCCTAAGAGTTCCTAAACAAACTCTTCTATATTCTAGCTTTATGCCAGAGGTGCTTTTCAACTCGGGTGTGAAAGAAAAGCCACACAGCCCAATCAAGTGAGGAAAGAAAGAACAGAATTGTGAGGCTAGAACTTGCCAGGCACTGTACTGGGGAAAAGAGAGCAGGAGGGAATTACTCCAGAAATTAGCATAGAGATACCCATTTGTGTGTGCATGAAGTACAGCTGAAGAACTACACCCGGAGAAAGAACAATTCTATTAGAATAAAGTTTAAAAAAAAAATGCAGTAAAATTTAGTATGTATTATAATTTTATAATATAAAAGTAATAACATGCAAAAAATAGGTAAGTGTGACCCATAACCAAGAGAAAAATCTATCAGAAGAAACAGACCCAGAAGTGTCAAAGGATGATAGGATTACCAGGCTGGTGGTGCAAACCTGTAATCCCAGCACTCAGGGAGGCAGAGGCAGGCGGATCTCTGTGAGTTCCAGGATAGCCTGGTCTATACAGTGAGTCCAGGACAGCTAAGGCTGCACAGAGAATCCCTGTGTCAAAAAACAAACAAACAAAAAGGATGGTGGGATTAGCAGATAGGGATATGGACACAGCTCTGGTGGGCTGGGGATATGGTTCAGTTGGTAGAATTTCTGCCCAGCATGCATGAAGCTGTCCATAATCTGCATAAACCAAGCATTGTGGATCATGCCTGTAATCTTCTTCATAGCACATTCAAGGCCAGCCTGGGTTGCAGGAGACTTGTCTCAAATAATTAAGCTTGAAAGCCTCTTCTTTGTTTTTTTCATTACACTTATTTAGTCAGGGGTAGGGCACATGCCATTCTACAAGTGGAGGTCAGCAAACAAATTGTGGGTGTCAGTTCTTTCATTCTACCTGTGGGTTCTGGGGATCAAATTTAGGTCATTGGGCTTGGTGGCAAGCGCCTTTACCTGTTGAACCATCTTGCTGACCCTTCTTTCTTTCTTTTAAATTTAAAGAGATCCTGTGACTACCTTCGAAGTGGTGCACGCTTGTAATCCTAGTACTTGGGTAGGCAGAGGCAGGTGGATCCTTGTGAGTTCAAGGCTAGCCTAGTCTACAAAGCAAGTCCAGGATAGCCAAGCTACACAGACAAACCCTGTCTCAGAAAACCAAAAAAGAGATACTCTGACCAAGGATTTAAAGGAAAATATGGACTTAATGAAGAGATAAATGGAAGATAATAGACAGGCCTTTGTAGTTTGGGCTAGCTTTAAACTTGCTCTGTAGCCAACGATGACCTTAAACTTCTGCTCTTTCCACTTTTACCTCGTAAGTGCTGGGATGACAGGCATGAGCCCCTCTGCCTGGCAGATCTCTGATTCTGTTGTAAAATAATCTTGTTTTTATTTAGCTTCAGAAGAACTCACTATTGCTGGCATGACTTTCACAACTTTTGATCTGGGTGGGCACGTCCAAGGTAAGATTCTATTTCTCTTAGCCTCTGTTTTATCTTAACTTACTAAGTGTGGCCACTACGGTCCAGAGCTTGGAACTGCATGTTCCCCAAGTAAGGCAGGGTAAGGTTAAGAACTTCACTGGACATATGGTACTTCTGAGTCACTAAACTGCTTATAGTGGTGAGCTATAAGTAAAATTTAGCTTCTGTTTTCTCTTTGCATCAGGCTACTTCTGACCTGTTATCAAAATCATATTATGAACACATGATACTGTAACCACCTCCTCAAAAGCCCCAGTAACTAACCCATTTCTTTTAAGACACAGACTTGTCATTATCCTGGCATTCTCTGGGGTTCTCTCCTCCCATTCTCTTTCTTCCACCAGAGATGACCTCTTGTTCTCTCTGCTTTTGCTCATAAATCCCATCTGTGAGGAGCGACTCCCTCCCTGGAGAAGCCGGCCTGGAGTGCACTAGATGTACTTACGGAACTTAGTGCTTTTCTGTACGTTTCTGCAGCAAGTGTGGGAGAACTGTCCTGAACCCTGAGATGAATTTTTGTGGACTAACTTCCTGTCCATTTTTTTTATATCCCAATAGCTTATAGCATGTGGGTCATGTGGTGCAGCACAGCTAGTGAATGTGGGGACCTAGAGGTCCCTAAAGCCTGGTGTTAAGGTATAGAGCTAGTGGGTATCTGGAAGCCTGGTGATCGGCTGAGGTGCCAGCCCGCAGTGCTGATGATCTACAGTGAAGCACACTACCTCACATTCCTAGCACCATATAAATAATAACAGAAAGATATTTTTAAAACCTGATTCAACATATATTTGAAAAAGACCTTTAGTGGCGGTGGTAGTGAAAGCACGTTTGAGACACACATCTGTTCATCTCTGGGGTGTGAAGATCAGAGAATTAGAATCTAAAGCTGGAAAGATGGCTCGGTGGGTAAGAATACTGCCATTGTAGCCCTGAAAGCAGCCTGAGTTCAGTTCCAGACTCCATGGAGAAAGGAGAGAACAGACCCCAAACTCTACACACACTTGTCTACACACACTCACACTCACAGACACGTCATAAAAATTAATTTAGAATATTTAGAAAAAAATATTTAGAATCTAATGGAGTTTACTTGAGGTTTCATATATACAGTGTTTTCTGGATAGGCCATAAAGTTCAAGTCATGAGTTATTTCCCCTTGGGTACTATAAAATCTGTTTTCTCAAGGCTGGAGAGCTAAGAGCAGTTGCTACTCTTACAGAGGACCCAGGTTTTGCTCACAGCACCCATGTGGCTGCTGACAACTGTCCTTAGCTCCAGTTCCGGGGGATCTGGTTCCCTCTTCTGGCTTCCACAGGAATTAGTCACACACAGTACACATTCATACATACAAGTAAGACATGCATACACATAAAATAAAAATAATAAAATCTTTTTAAAAAATAAAAATTGAGCTGGTGGTGATGGCACCTGCCTCTGATCCCAGCTCTCGGGAGGTAGAGGCATCCAGATCTCTGTGAGTTCGAGACCAGCGTGATCTATAGAGCAAGTTCCAGGACAGCCAAGACTACACAGAAAAACTCTTTTCTTGAAAAACGTAAAAAAAAAAAGAAAGAAAACCCAATAAATAAAGTTCTATCTTTTAAAAAGTCTGTGATAGAAAAGAAATTACCCTCATCATTTCCTAGACCTTAAGAGATTATTTCTTAATAATAAATCATAAAAAAATATTTTTAAAATTATTTGATATAATTTTACCATTTACTAAAGATGTAGGCAAATTTGCATACTAATGAGATGGCTGTGCTTGTTTATTTTTACACAAAAAGTTAAATACTGGCTGCATATTTTGTACTATGAGACAGAAAATATTTTTTTTAAGATTTATATATTTATCTTATGTATATGAATGTTTTGTTTTCATACACACCAGAAGAGGGAATCAGATTCCATTACAGATGATTGTGAGCTACCATATAGTTGCTGGGAATTGAACTCAGGACCTCAGTGCTCTTAACTGCTGAGCCATCTCTCCAGCCCCAAGACAGAGAATCTTTAGCATTTTTCAAATTCTTTTTTAATTTTTTTTTTTTCAAGACAAGGTTTCCCTGGCTGTCCTGGAACTCTGTAGATTAGGCTGGCCTTAAACTCAGAATCCGTCTGCCCCTGCCTCCTGAGTGATGAGATTAAAAGTATGTCCCACCACTGCCTTCTTCCTCTCCCTCCTTCCTTTCTACCCTCCTCTCCTTCTCTCTCTTCCTCCCTCCCTCTTTTAGGTTTTATTTATTTTTATGTGTGAGTGTTTTGCCTGCATGTATGTCTGTGCAACATACGTGTGCCTGGTGCCTCTGTAGGTCAGAAGATGACATCAGATTCCCCTGGAACTAGAGTTACATCTGTTTGGGAACCACTATGTGAATGCTGGGAATCAAACTCTGGTTCTCTGCAAGCTCAAGGGCTCTTAACCACTGAGCCATCTCTCCAGTCCCAATGTTTTGATTTTATAGTCATCAATGCTTTGCATAAAGACATAGTGAAAAATGGCAAAAGTATGTTCAGGACCTTTTTAGAAACTGTCCTAATCCCAAGCTAGAATTCAGTGAATGATTTTTAGTCCCTCTTTTTATGGAACTGAAGTCAGAAACTTAAGCAGCAGGTTTTAAAATGAGACCGTCAAAACCAATACAATCCAAAGTTAATTAATTTGATACTTACATACTGAGGAATGGTGGTAGGAAAATATTGAAAGTCTTTGTTTACTGAAATTAAACATTCTGTTTCTGTAAGAGCAGAAAACTGTACCACTAAATCCCTGCAATTCCTAACACACACTGTTGTTTGGAAGCTGTGTGCTGTGATGCATGCATGCCCGGTGCCTGTGCGTGTGCTAAGCACCAGGGCTGCAGTGGAGTGCCCTGAGGATGCCAGGGGCCAGCAGTGCCAGAAACACGCCAGCATCAGGACTCTCTGGTTTTTTCAGTTCATATTTTGGTTGTTGGGCATTTAGAAACCTAATACTGTTGTCAAATTTTTCTTAACCCACAGTTTAAGAACCTGATGAATGGGATGGGAGATGGTCCAGCGGCTAAGAGTACTGACTGCTCTTGCAGAGGACTGGTTTTAATTCCCGTCACCCAGATGATGCCTCATAACTATCTGTAACTCCAGTCCCAGGGGATCTGATGCCCTCTTCTGGCCTCTGTGGACAATACATGCATGTGGTAGTTAGATACACATCAGCAAACTCACACACATAAAATTTAAAAAAAAAATTTTTTTTTAAAGCTGGGTATAATGTACATGTACCAAGAATCCCTCAGGAAAGGGCTAGAAAACAGTAAGTCCATGACCAGAGTTGTGTTCCTCAGGGTCCTCACAGTATAAAGAGAGAACAGACTCCTACAATTGTGCCCTGACCTTCAAACATGTACCATGGTGTGGCTGCTCCCACACAGTACGCCCACACACAAAATAGATAGCAAATGTAAAAAACAAAACAGCACATGTTATCAGAAACAAGGTAAATATGAAGACATTGAAGAAATTTTTCAAATACTGAAAGAAAAATGGTTTTTGTTTGGATTGACTTATTTTGAGTGTTTTGCATGCATGTTTTTCTGTGAACCACATGTATGCCTGGTGTCTTTAGCTGCCAGAAGAGGGCATCAGGATTCCCTGGGACTAGAGTTACAGATGTTGTATATCGTCTTGTGGGTGCTGGGAACTAAACCCTGGTCCTCTGGAAGAGCATCCATCTTAACCACCAACCCACCTCTCCAGCCCCAACCCGCAAATATGTTATATAGTTGAATATGAAATGTCCATACATGGTTATATGCTGAGCAGTTGCTCCCTAGCTGGTGGCACTGTTATCAAATATTTTCATTAATTAAGTTTGTTTTCTGTTTTTTTTTTTTTAAAGATTTATTTATTTTATCATATGAACACTGTTTTCATGGACAGCAGAAGAGGGAATCAGATTCCATTACGGATAGTTGAAAGCCACCATGTGGTTGCTGGGAATTGAACTCAGGTCCTCTGGAAGAGCAGCTCTTAACCTCTGAGCCATCTCTCTAGCCTGTTTTCTGTTTTGAATATAACAGTTTGTAACTTGCCAAGTCTATACTTGGTACTAACATTATTTTGATTTCATATTTATCACTAGCTAAAACCTGAGAAGTGAGAAATGTCAAAAAATTAACCCTGTACACACACAGACACACACATATATATGTTTTTTATTGCTTAACTTTGGTTGATGAGCATTCATAGAGGTTTCCTAGTGAATTTAATGAGTCACCGTGTCCACGAGTGTGCACTGTGTGTGTGCATGCCTGTGGAACAGCAGAGGGTGTTGGATCTCCTGCAACTAGAGTTGCAGATGGTTGTGAGCCACCTAATATGGGTTTTGGGAACCAAACTAGGTCCTCTGGGAGAACAGGAAGTGCTCTTAATCCCTGAGCCATTTTTCCTGCTCCTAATCCTATTTCTTAATGGGGGAGAATAAAGGATTTGACTTGCCTACAATCAAGGAAAGTCTGAAATTTGTTTTGGTATTCTGGGGAAAATTTGGTACCAAAATCTTTGGCAAAGCAGGCAGTTGGCTGTACTGCAGCCAATAGCAGCCAAAGGGATGTCTCTGTACTCTGAGACCTTGTTGGACTCTTCCATCCAACCATCCACTAGGTTTGACCAACACAAATCCTAACTCATGATTGTTTTTGTTAGCCCGAAGAGTATGGAAAAACTACCTTCCTGCTATCAATGGCATTGTATTTCTTGTGGATTGTGCAGACCATGAAAGGCTGTTAGAGTCAAAAGAAGAACTTGATGTAAGTTGAATAATTAAAACTAAACACAGTGAACTCCCTCTGGGCAGCTTGAAGGAATAGGTGCAGATGGAGCTGTCAGAGTGCAGCTTTCCTGCAGCGCCTGTGGAGACTCCTGACAGTCTGGGCTCGGTGATCATTTTAACTGCTGAGGACTATTTAAAATGGAGAGGGAGTAAACTGCAGCAGCTGAGGCTAGTGAGGAAGTGCTAACAGAAACACCTCTGAAGACTGAGCTCACCCCCCCCAGAGTGTGCCCTGCATGTGTGTGCATGCCTGTTCATTCCTGAAGCCAGTTGATCCAGAGTCGTGCCATCCCAGGATTCCATTCCTCCAGCAATTGTCCAGCTATCTTAACTACTTCCAGAAGGAAGTAGGTGTGTGTTCACATCCCTCTGCACCCTCTCCCGGTCAAATATTTTGCAAAGAGGCTCAGCAGTTTCCAGTGAGGCAGAGCTGAATCTGGGACCACAGAGTAAGGAGGTCATGATCTGACTGAAGGTTAGCCTGAGCACTCCTTTATCAGAAAGGTTCTGTGATCCTGGAACAGGGTCAGTTAGTTGCTGACCCTGATACTGGAATAAGCGCAGTATCGCTTCCCTCAGCACTCAGGTCAGTGCCTTAAATAGTTACTGCTGCTCCTCCTGCAAGAGGCTAATTGCCCAAGATTGGAACCTGTTCACAGAACCAGAAGTGAAACCAGGTTGCCCCGCCTCCAAGGTGTCCATACTCCCTTAGTGATTTGCATAGTGAGCATCTCCAGAGAGCTTTAGGGAGCTAGGAGGATCTAGCATATGTTTTCTTAGTGCTCACTTCAGGCATGAGGAAAATGTGCTTATGCAGGTCAGGGCGTCATGATACAGTGAAGAATGAGCCCTTGGCTGTGTGGTATCTTTTCAAAATGAGATTTTTAGGTAGATTTTAAACCAACCTGTCTTTCCTGTTATTTGCTTTGTTTCAGTCACTAATGACAGATGAAACCATTGCCAACGTGCCTATTCTAATTCTTGGAAATAAGATCGACAGACCTGAAGCCGTCAGTGAAGAAAGGTTACGAGAAATGTTCGGTTTATATGGTCAGACAACAGGAAAGGTAAAAATCCTTTCTTTTTATTTAATTTTATTGTTTTTTGTTGTTGTTGTTTGGTTGTTGTTTTAAACGGGGTCTCACGACGTAGCTGGCTGTCCTGGAACTCACTCTGTAGACCAGGTTGGCCTCAAACTCAAAGAAATCGGCCAGCCTCTGAGCACTGCCTCTGCCTCCCAAGTTCTGGGATTAAAGGTGTGCACCACCACACCCAGCTAAGAAAGGTAAAAAACTTTAGAAAGTGATTTGTTTGGGTTTTTTGGGTTTAAACAAGGCCTCATGAAGTAGCCATAGCTACCCTGAAACTCTCTTGATTCTCCTCACAAGGCCTGAGATCATAAGCACACACCAGTATAACCACCTTTGACCAATGTGAGTATTTAATTCTGTAGTAGAAACATCTTACATGACTATGTACAACTGTACAAGCTCATTTTTTTTTCCTTAAAGAAAACTTAATTGGGGGCTGGAGAGGTAGCTCAGCACTGTCTGCTCTTCCAGAGGACATGGGTTCAATTCCTAGCAGCCACATGTCAGCTCAAAACTGCCTGTAACTCCAGGTCCATGGGATCCAACACCCTCACACAGACATACATTCAGGCAAAACACTAATGCACAGTAAATAAAAATAAATAATTTTCTTAGAGAAAACTTAATTGTATATTTGAGTGTCTTTTTAAATTTTATTTAATTTTATCTAATGTGCATTAGTGTGAAGGTGTCAGATCCCTTGGAATTGGGCATTATAGACAGTTGGTGAGCTGCCATGGGGGTGCTGGGAATTGAACCCAGGTCTTTTGGAAGAGCAGGCAGTGCTCTTAACCACTGAGCCATCTCTCCAGCCCCTTGAATGTCTTTTTAATACCCTCATTTCTATCTGCTATTGAATGAAAGCCTTTCTCAGTGATAACAATTGGAGGTCTGTCATTCATGTGGGCTGTGCTTACGTATAACTAAATGAAGCTTTCAAAGTTTTAATTATCACAGACTTTTGGCGTTAGAGCTACAAGGGCTAGAGGTATAGCTCAGTAGTAGAGAATGGTCTGTGTTCTGTCCCCAGCACTATCCAAAACCAAAACAAATAGCCTTCAGCAGGCCATGGGGGTACACTCCCATTTCAGTTTTCTAGTTTGTTTGGTTTTTGAAGCCCTGGCTGCCAGGACTCCCTTCTATAGAGCAGGCTGCTGCCCTCGCTACCTCTCGCCGAGGCTAAAGGTGTGCGTAACCACACCCCGTTTGGATTTTTATTTTTTCTTTTTCTTTTTCTTTAAGTACTTTCAGTGCATGTGTTGCCAGGAGTCAACCTAGACCCTACACATACTCTACCATTAAGCCAGCTTCTTAGCCTCTGTGTTATGTTCTGAACCTGCACTTTATAAGGATATTAAGACATTGCCTGGTGTGGTATTATAGGCAGTTATGAGCCACTGTGTGGGTACTGGGAATTGAACCCAGCTCCTCTGCAAAAACCAGTGCTCTTAACCACTGTGCATCTCTCCAGTACCCTCTCCCCTTTCTAAAATTTAACTTTATAAGTGTCTTGCCTACGTGTATGTCTGTGTACCACATATATTCCCGTTGCACTGGAAGGCCTGTTGTGCTGGCTCTGTGGTCCCCATTACTAGCCTGAGGCTGAGTGTAGCAACCCTTTGATACAATGAGTGGGTGTAGGTCATTCCACCGCAGCTTTATCATTGACACTTTTTGTTCTGAAGGAGAATCTACAATATGCTGGGAGTAGAACTTTTACTCCCTGAGCCCTCAACTTAACAGCTCTCTCCTCATCCAGGGCAATGTGTCGCTGAAGGAGCTGAATGCCAGGCCTCTGGAAGTGTTCATGTGCAGTGTGCTGAAAAGGCAAGGCTATGGAGAAGGCTTCCGCTGGATGGCACAGTACATCGATTAGCAGCGGTCATGCCCACACGCATCCAGGCCTCAAGACCCATCCCCCAACATGCATAACTTGAATTCAATAGACTTTTGTTGGTTTCAGAATAGGTGTTTTTGAATTATTAATATATCTACCTGAGTGGAAATTGCAAACTGATTCAAGTTTGAATATCACAATGTTAGTTTTCTTATTCCACACAGATAGTTTTTACAGTTTCTAACCCCACATCAACCCATCACCGTTTATAAAGATCAGCTTCCCAGTGGTACATTTGAAGCACTTTTTAACGATATGAAACTACAAATATAAACCATATTTAAGAGCTCATCATGTGAAACTTTTATGTACTTTTTGGAAATAGTTTTTCAATTTTAGATTGTCTGCCTATCTTGTGTACAGTTAAGATCCGCTTATCAGTGATTGCATGATGCCTTACTGTTTTCAGGACTACTTTTTCTTATGCAAATGTCATGCAATAAAACAAACTCCAACGTTTGCCTCTTTGGTGGACAGCAGTTTCATTTGAACGTGTCCTGTGGCTAGTGTGCTCTGAAAAGTGTGAGATTTTAATATTGAACATATGAGAGCATGGGTGATGGGCAAAATTCCTTCAGAATATTTAGAATGGCGCTTAAGCCCCAAGAGGCTTTCTACTTACCACACAGCAGCTGGAGCTGAGTGTGCCTGACTCCAAGGTTCTGAATCCTCCGTTTCCTTTACCAGTCACGAGACCTGCCATTACTACCGTAGCCACAGTCTGTGCCTGTCTTCTGTGGTCCAGCCCCAGGGCTCCCTATGTGGAATGGACTTTCCAGAGGGAGCAGCTTAGCTTAGAAACCCATGTGGCTGGAGGAAGGCAGCAGGGCTGGGATTTGCCCCTGTCCTGTGGCTCTCCTGCGCTGGAGCATGCTTCCTTTCCTGAGAGGAGGAAAATGAATGCTTGTTTTAGGCCATCTTTATCTCATTGGCACTCTGCTCTGCACCAAAGCCTTGGGCTCTGCATATGATACTACAGTGTTACTGCTGTGCTCACATGTACAACTGGGCTTGGTTGTTCAAAGCATTTTAGTTTCCCTAACATAAATGAAAGGTAAGTGCCATTTTTTTGTTTTGTTTTTTTGAGATAGTCTGAATTTGTAGATTTTGTTCATGCAGAGGGGAGTAAGGGCTCCGCCCATGTCAAATAGTAGCCTAAACAATAAAAATGGGGATCAGTTGCTCTGCCTTAGGGCCCCTGATTTTGTTTACTTTTTTCTGTCTGTAAAGCAATATTACTTATTTTTTTCCCCAGAGAAGAAACAAGCAGGATAAGCACATACAATGATTTTCTTTTTATTTAAAGAGTACTGTCTGGATTAGGAGAGCCTCCTCACAATTCACTCCATGTAAATTGGGTTTAAATCCCTGTAATCTCGAGGATAGTAAACACAGAGAATAAAATGAGATACTGAAAAGAACTCACAAAGTGATCAGTCTCATCATTAAATAAACCCAAAATGTTGAGAAAAATAAAATGAAACAAGCCATCTTGGAAGCCTGGCGTTGCCTCCTTAGTTTAATAAACAAAAAAGAGAACAATGATAACCAGAGGGCAATGAATACAGTGTTATGGGTGCCACCATTTTGTTTATGCCACATGGCTGCCAACCACATGTTCCTGAAGAATTTTGAACTGTGACCTAGGAAGTATCTGGATCATAGATAGCTTCATAGGCAACTCCATCTCCCCCCGCCCCACGCTTTGAAATTAAATGTATAATAAAGTAACATAACAAGAACTAAAAACTATCAAAAAAGCTATTTCACTTTCTTTAATTTGACCCTCTCATGGGGGGGGGGATAGGGTGGCTGGCATCTAAGTGAGTTCACACAGGGAGAAACAGCTCCCTAAGCCTTCCTTGCTCTCCCCCCTCCTACACCTGTAAGCAACCTGTTGTGTCCAGGGTGTGGGTGGGGCTGGTTCTTCTTCCTTTCATGGTTTATGTTCTCTTTGTAAAAATTATTTTATTTTAATTATGTTTATGCATGTGTGTCTGCCTGTTGATAGGTGCACTTGAGTGAAGGGGCCTGCAGGTATCTGGTCCTCTAGAACTGTAGTTACAGGTGGCTGTGAGCTGCCTGATGTAGGTCCTAGGAATTGAACTCAGGTCCTCTGGATGAGAAGTATGTGTTTTTTAACTGCTGAGCCATCTCTCTAGCCAGGTAATGCTCCCTTTATAACCAGTGATCTGTATAGTTGGAAAACTCAAAACCTACTATTCTCTAAAGAAAGAGTAGAAAGCCACCCGTGGCTAGGCCAAAGGATTGATGCTGAGCAGCGCAACCCCGATAGGATGGATTTTCCCTTCTGTCTAACACTAACCAAGAAGACTGGACAATTTTCACTAGGACCTTTTTAAAAGGATTAAAGATAGATAGCTGCTTTAAAAAAAAAATTATGCTTTTGTTATGCACTTGGCCCCAGATATTTAAAATATTTTTTTTCAAAAAAATATTTGAGGGATTTGAGGGTATGAGTAGGTCTCAGCTTTTGAAAGTAGTTGGAAAAGTCTACAACAGCCAAGACTAGACAGGACAAAAGACTTTTAAAGTCCTCACGAGAGAGCCAGAGTCTGCAGCGATCCTGGCTCTCTGAGGCATCATTAAACCCTTCCAGCGACATGGGGATGAGGGCTGGGGAATTACAAAAGAAGCCCTCACTGGATCCCTGAGGCCTTGGAAGCGGCTGATGGCTTATCTGTCCAAGAGCCTTGCCCCAGCCTTGCTGGGTGGCTGGTGTGTATCCAGGCAGTGGCCACCTCTGCTTTCTTGTTTTGTTTGTTTTTTGAGGCAGGGTTTCTCTATGTTGTCTTGGCTGTCCTGGACTTGCTTTGTAGACCAGGCTGGGTTCGAACACAGGGCAATCTGCCTGCCTCTGCCTCCCTGAGTGCTGGGATTAAAGGCATGTGCCACCATGCCTGGGTACCACTGCTCTGCTGGTGAGTTGACTCTGGGACAGGAACTGTTCCTGACCACCCCACATTTGGTTGAGGCCTTCTATGGGTACTCCCTAAAGATGGATGCCAAACAGGCGAGCGACTTTACCAAGTCACCTGCACCAGCCCTGACCTGGTTCCGCAAAACATCAGCCCTCTACGCTGCTAGCCTGAGGGCGACCCTGCAGAACCTCCGCACAACTGCCATGAGGCAGTGGACCTGACTCAGTCTGTCAGACCGACCTGACCTATGCCCTGGTGCAGGAAGCAGACGAGGGGCCGCACACTGACGCTCAGAGTGCTTTCGTCCAGAACGGAATCAGGCACCCTGCGGCCGCAGTGGTGACCTAGGATAGGACAGCTTGGGCACATTCACTTAACCAAGAGACCTCAACTCAATGAACCAAGCACCTCACACTAATTCAGGTGCTCCACTGGGGAAAAGTCAAGTCTGTCACTATGATACTGTCATGATATACTAGAACCCTAGAACCAGGCAACAGGCCATCCCGTGTGATACAAGGACGTTTATTGAGGGAGAGAGGGAAAGGAGAGTAACGTGGGGAGGGAGACAGACAGACAGGCAAAGGAGAGAGAGAGAAAAGAGAGATAGTGGGGGGTGCTAGGTGGGTTATATACAGAGCACCTGGCGCAAGTGATGACATGGACGCAGGTGGTGATGTAAGACCCTAAAGGCCCCTGAGGGCCAGCCAGTTGAATCGCCTGCAGGACAACATTGATAGCCGCTGAGCCTTTACCACGGCCTACATGTGTGGGCCCCTGGACCAAGAAAGAGGGATCCTGGCATCTGCCAAGAAGTTCAAAAACAAAAAGGAGTTCTTGACACTGTTAGAAGGCATCTGTCTCCCCAAGAAAGTACATTGACACTGCAAGGAACACCAAAAGAGAGATTTCCCCCAAAGCACAGGTCAACAAGGCAGTGGACTTGGGCCCTGGGAGGCAGCCTAGAATCAGTGGGTCCACTCCAGATATTGGTGACATTGTCTAAATCTAGTCTCCTTCAGTGTCCAGACTTTGCATCACAGATGGACTAGACCAAGTGAGAGGGTGCCAAGCAAGAAGAGAAGGTCTGGCAGATGCTGCAAGATGACGGCCTGTACTTCTCGGAAGACAACTGGTAATGGGGCGCCACCAAGCCACTCATCTTAGGGGCCCCCTAAAACTGCAGAGCTCAGGCCCGTAACCTGTATCCCCCAGCCAGAGAGCGCCCTAGAGGGGAAATGCTTCCGGGTATAAAATAAAAAATCAGAAGCCTCGGTTCCCACTCAGACACTGGAATAAAAACAAAGACAATGGCAGAGGATGCTCTCAGCCTACCTAGGAAGTAAGGTGCTCTGGCTGCAACAAGCCTCCAGCCAGAAGCAGGCACACAACGCTCTTTACATACATGCACATGAGACTCTTGAACACATAAAGACCTTAGAAAGGGGCTGGAGTCGACTGAGCAAGGAGCTGAGCAGCAGAGCGTGTGTCTAGTATGTGAGCTATGGGTTTAATCCCCAGCACCAAAAAAAAAAAAAAAATCAAATCTAAATTTTGTTATTCTAAGTGTATGTGAAGATTCAATGATGTTTCAAGAAAGCAGGACACAGATTGAGATGTATAAAGCTCTTAATACAAAATAAATGGGAAATAAATGGTTATTTATATTAATATAAAACGGGTTCTAAACCCATCTAACTGGGTCAAGTAGCTCATAGCTGTAACCCCAGCTTCTGGGCAGCTGGGGCAGAAACTGCCAAGCATTTGAGGTCAGCCTGAGGTACAGGATGAGACTGTCTCGTTGATAAATCCCACCCCACAGAATGGAAATAAAATGTGGTGTACCCCTAATAACTTAGGTGGGAGAAGAGATGCTCGAGGCCAAAGTGGGCTACAGTGTCAGACCATCTCTTAAAATGTTTTACACTAAGAATTAAAAGAAAAAAAAAAAAAAACTTATGTCCTAACCAAGAGCTGAGTTATCAAAAATACGGGTTGAAGCTTCTCGTCTCTGTTTCCGGTACTCTGAATTTCAACTTGCTTTTTGCCTGTTTCACACAGTGTTTATGTAACCCCGGCTAGCCTGGAACTCCACAGTGGCTTTGATCTCACAGAGCTCTCCCAGCCTTTGCCTCATGAGTTGTGAGATTAAAGGCATGCATTTCCAAGCTCCACCAAGTTTTTACATTTTAACAAACAAAAAACAAAGCCAGCAAGCCCTTTAGAATCTGACAGGGTCACTGCTTGCCAGCCTTTAGGATCAACTATAGAATGTGTGACAGCTCCTTCACGAGTGAAGTCCTTAGGATGCTCTTACGACCTTGTTAGTCCTGAGTCCTGTCACCATGCCCCCTTCACACATAGGGGCCCAGCCTTTATTTAAAAGATCTCAGTAAGGGGAAGCCCACAGTCAGCTGACAGCGCCTTTTTGAACCACAACCTCATAATCCAGAACACTGAGCTGCCGTGACTACTCAGGACTTTGGTGACACTTTTTTCTTTGCTTTTTAAAAAAGAT